ATCAAAGGCCTTCCTTAAGTCCAGGAAGAGAACATACACTGCTCTCCCAGGCAGTGTATCTATCTACCAGGCCAGTCGCACAAGGTTATCAAGTTGGTCAAGCAGAACTTCCCTTTGGTGCAAAGAGGCCTCTTTGCACATAAATGGCATGAACCACAATGGCATCTAGGAAACGGTTCTAGGTAAGACAAAACAAATATGGATGACAGTTTTACTACTTCCTTGTGGAAAGAGAGGAGGACCCAAGGGGAAGGATGCAAGAGGAGGATGCTGAGAATCCTCCTTACAGAGTGGAGACACAGTGCCACTTCACTGTTTTGCCTTCTGTTCCCAAATTTTTGTATCCCAAAATATTTGAAAAACCCAATAGAAATAAGCTTGTTCTTTACAGCTCTTGATTATGTGTGGACACAGAGCGGACAAAGTTAAAAATAATAGGATATAACTGCACAGGGATGGCTTAAAGAAACATCACCTGTGTATGAACAAGACTAAATAAGCTTGTGTAGATGGAAAAGGGCTGCTTCCCAACAGATTTTTCCACAAGGTGAAGGTATATAAATTACCGACATCTTCACACTATATTTAACATATGAGGACAGAGGCTTAGCTGCCAAGAAAAGCCACAGGTCAGAGAAGAATCAAACTAGTTTCACTATCCAGTTTTGGAAGGGGATAGGAACAGTGAGGAACAGCTTGCATCCCTTGCCGTCTTTCTTCTGCATGCTCAGTATCAGTCCTGAGGTTGCTGGCTGGCACACAAGAAACATGCCTCAGCCAGCAGGACCACATTGCCTTTTTGCAGTAAGAAAGAAAACATCTGGTAAGTAGATTCTGTAAGAAGTCAGGGACAAAAACAGAAAATGAAAGTCTTTCTTATATTAGATCTTCTGCCTATTTGAAATATTAGCAGGAGGAGGAATATATATTGTCTATATAACCCACAACTTTGAGCAATCATCACTTGTCATGGAGTTTGATCCACAAGGGAAGGAACTTTATCTTGATACACAGAGTAGAAATTAAACTTATATACGAAGTGCAGAGATGTATCAAGAAGTTATCCAGCATAGTAGTCATAGGTTTCTAAATCATAAAGAAAGTTAACAATACAAGTATGAAAAGTGATTTTTTTTAGGCTATATATTTATTAGAAGCAGTATTAATGTATGAATCCACCTTGGAAGAAAATAAGTGTCCTTGAGATGTTAGATTCTATCAGCCAAATTGAATGTCTGCATCAATGGCTCTTCCTAAAAGTCATAATTAGGTCATTAAAATATATTTAGAAAAATAGCCTGTAAAATAAAGTTAAAAAATACTCACCTTCATTTTATTTCATAGGTCACTGTTATACCATCTAATAAGATAATTAAAAACATGCAAGCAGCTGGTACTGAGGCTAAACAGATTAATGTAATAGTCTGTAGTCATATGTGCTGGCAAGGGGTTCACCTCTTTGGCGAGGAGAAGGTCAGCTGCCCTTGGGAAGGCAGGAGAAAGACAGTATTTCTACCTTCCAGTGGCACTGCACTGCAGATACTGAAACTAGAGACCCACACTTAGTTTTCTTTTTCTTCTGGTGAAGTCTGGACAACTTGCACATCCAGAAAAGGCTTTAACCAAAGCAGTAAAATAACACACTAGAGTGGAGCTGAAATACTTCTCATGTTTCTCATGCTTTAAAGTTCCTCTAAATTCTTATTCAAATTTTTCTAATAGTGAGCTTCTACTTTTGATGACATGGTTCTAGGAAATAATTTTCATAATTTCTTATTACGAAACCTTCTTACCTAGTACACAAAAAATATTTCAATCAGAGCCTGATGATCAACTAGAAAATTCTCCATGACCTCACAGGACACATTCGCAAACTTGTATTTAGAAATATGTGCCAGTCACATGCGCTTTTCACTTACATTACTTACAAACTTTATGACCTAATGGGAAATGCTCACTCACTGAACATAATCAGCATTAAATCTCTGCCTTGATCAACACAAGCAAGAGTCACAAATTCTAAGGTGACACCATCATATTAAAAATAAAACTGTACAAATAGTTCTGAGCATCGTAAGTATATGAGAGAATAATGATCTGACATCCTTTATTAATAAACACACACACACTCAGAAGCTTGGAGAGTGTAAAATTGTCCTTTAAAATAGAAAGTGTTGGAATCAAGTACAACCCTTACCCCCATTTTTTACTGTTATTAAAACAATGTGCTCTAAAGAGCAATTTAATAGCTAAACATATTCACATTCAAATATTTTTAAACATTCAGAGCTGTCTCTTCTAAATGAATTGTAGAGAGACTGCTCCTGATAAAGCATAAAACGTCTTTGGTTTCAGTAAAAATGTTCAGTATCATTTTATACCTATTAGCCTTCTGCAGGCATGACATCTACCATGATCCAAAGATGCCTTTGCCTCTTCTAGGGCAAAAATTCACTAGCCAGTACTTTTTTAAATACGAAAGACTGAGACACACTGGGTAAACAACACTATCATCAGTTTTACCATATTACTAACTTACTATAACAATATTCATTGACAGTATATTAAAATAAGTCCAAATCTCTAATGAGTCCTTAAAGAAATAACAACCATTTACCATCGTTACCTTTCAAGGCAGTTTAAGATTCACTTTGTGTCTTTCATAAGGTATTAGCTGCTCATTTTTACTTAACATGCAGCCCAGAACTATAACTATCAACAGAATATTCAACCCAACCAGCAAATTTACAGCCAGTCTCATTATATGATGGGAGTTACTTGTCACTGAGCAGAAAATACTCATTTTACACCTTAAACACTGTAATGCTACTTAATAACAGTGGTAGCTTGCCAACTATTGGAAGTCAGAGATTTCTTTTATATATACATATATATATGTGCATAAATATACCTCACTCCCCACATATATATACTGCACCATCTTGCTTTATCATCTTGCCTCTAGTTACAACGATAATACTCTGGCAGAGATATATGGGACCGCTTTTAAAATACTAATTAACTTCAGTTTTGTAAATTGGGCTATAATCCTCACTGAGAGAATACGATTATTATTCTGGTGAAGTCATAGCAATGTAGCCAAAGTCATGTTTATTACATCCACTTTGGACTAAGGAATATGGAGACAAGAGAGCGGCTTTAGCCTCCACTTATTTGTGGAGCATTAAAGATGGCTGAGGATTCACTACAGTTTAGGCTGCCTTAAGTAAATGGAACCATGCTCTGTCCTTCCACTTACTTTTAGGTACTGTGAACCAAGTAATCAGAAACCTCTCCCTGTAAAGAATGAATAGGTTTGCCTAGGTTAGCTCCCTGGACTGGCTCACTGAGAGTGCTACTGCAAAGTAGAGAATGGATAGGAAGAAAGAGTCGGACCCCAGCACCACAGCTTACACAATCATGGAACCAGAGCCTATCTGGAGCTGGCTGCTTCTTTTTCAAGCGTTAATGACTTTGAAGAATAAATGTCCTGGAATTTATGGCACAGAGAACTCTCAACTCCTTTCTTCTGCTGATCTGGCTAAATTCTTTCTTGCCTATTTTTCAGAGACTGCCTAATGGTCTCTGTATCTACATACACGTCTCACCTAAAAACCACAGAGGTTATTCTGGGTGGTATTTTTGAGCCCTTCTTTTAACTTAGATAGTATGTTGCATGCATAGAGAAAACAAACATGACAAGAAAAAGAGTCAGGCAGAAACCTGGAATGGATTTGCTAACATATTTTTCTCAAAATGAACATGCTAACTACCCTCGAAGGGTTTTATATCATCACAAAGTAGGTTTCATTAGAGCAGACTTACTAGGATACAGAAAATAGGAAAGATTTGTAAATCAAACCTCCCCTGTCCCACCGAGTCCCTGCAGGTACACCATTTTTTCCAACCTTGCTCTCAGTCCAGAAGCTTCCTCTGAGTGCTTGAATCGCAACAAACTCTTTGCTGTTCCCTCCAGGTCCTTACAAAATGTCTTTCTTTTCAGCATCCTCAAGACCAGGCTGTGTTCTCCCTGACCTCAGCAGCCTTTCAGTCATCGGCCTACAACAGGCTCCTCGAGCCCAGCACAGCTCACTGCCTGCAAGATGGTGCAATATTCCCATGCCAAGGCAAACAGGCAGGTTTCTCCTGCCTGCCTACACCTCTTTGAAGTACAGACTCCAGTAGTCTACAAGCAAAAAAATTAAAAGATGCCACCCATTACTGTCCTCTAAATGAATTCAAAATAATCATGTGGCAAGCCTGTTTCATTTTGCCGTACTTAAGCATCAAAATCAGATGCAGTCGTTCTGGTTAGCTCAAATCTCACTATTAAATTACCAGTCACAAGGACACGGATTTAGCATCTGTAGCAGAGGAAGCATTTTGTTGGCTGAAAGATAGAACTACACATCTGTTGATTACTCTTCTGTGCTTTCAACTGCAAGATCCCCTCTGGTATGTACCCAAGCAAGACTCAAGTTCAGTGACAGTGCTGCAGAAAGTTACTCAGCCTCATGGCTTTTAAACTGGTGTTTACTACCAACAGAACTGAAAAACTATTTTCCTGTCAGAAAACCTAAAATTTAAGAAATCCTGACTCTGTTTTTTGACCTGAAACAGTTCCATGTGGATCATAGATCAGAAAGGTGATCCCTGGTGAGTTAAGTATTTCAGTGTTTAGCTTAGCTGCTATGAGTTTAGGTGAGAATTTCTACTTTATTCCATGAAAAAAAAAAATCCCTTAAAATTATTTAGGCTTATAAACACAGTATACTTTCATTAGGTAAGCATTTTGAACTGCTTTCTCAAAAAATAATAATGCAGAAAACTTTTCAAATCATTACTTAATGAAATCCTTCACATCCTTTAGTCTCCTGCCTGTTGCAATTTAGTGTGTACAATACTTTTAAAATTCATGGATCTGTTCTTTTCCTTTTAATATATTATGCTGCTTATTATATTCAAACTTCTAAAAATTAGAAAATATAAAATCTACCAACCTGTAGGAAATAAATGTTCCATCAGAATCTGAAGTGTGGTGTGTGCTTCCATTTTCATTCGATCCTCCTAATACAAAAATAAAACACTTTTGTTACACGACAAACCCTGATAATACATAACACAATATTGATGAGAATCACAATTGATTTTGCCATATATTGCAATTTTAGTTTACAACAAAAATTACATAGGTAAGTCTCAGCTTTACATCTTCAAATTCTTACAGCTGGCAAAAGAGAAAATAAGCTTTCATGTTCAATTTAGAGTCTAAATGTTCTGAAAATCCAAGATTTGATTTCACTTGAAGTTTTGGTTTGAGGGCCTAACTAAACACAGTTTTACTAGTATAAGGTTACAGATGCATACCATACAAACGATGAGCTCGATTTTTAAGCCAAAGAATGTAAAAGTTAATTTATTTTGTGACTGTATGGTATCAGGCACTTTTTGTCCTAGCACAAGTTTAAAGCTTCTCTGAAACTACTTAACACGTCTGCAAAACATCTTGTTTTACATCCTGTGAGCTGTTTATACATAGATCAGTGACATTCATAGAAACTGAGGATTACAAGGAAACCTTCCTCTCTATAGTAACTACTATTGAAGGACTGTCAAAAGCCAGGAACAATAATCTATTTTTTAAATGAAATTTATCCACATCCTTTTTTATTTATTCTTGCCCAACCTGTCATTTAGCTTGGTAATTCTTCTATGCCCTTGTGTATTTCCAGAATTCATTTACAGACAGCACTGCGCATCCTTGTGCCCTCTGTTCTGCTTACTGAAATCAAGTTCTTTCAGTCTTTTCCTGAAATGAGGCTCATTATTCCCTGTTTTGTTTAAATCAGTCCTCCTTACACATGAAAAAGAAGGGACAGGAGCTGTAGACCGCATACTTAAAGTTTAACCAGTTTATTCTTTGGACAGTGGTTTTCTTCACTATCAAAAAAATCTTGCTTGATACAATCTATAGTCATGTCACATCAGCTTGCAATTTCACAGCCATCATTCACCAACACTCCTACATTTTTACTCTCAATTTTTATTTACAAAAGAAGTTTGCAATTTACAGTAGCAAACCTTGCTAGGACCATATTGTATTTCATGCTGTTGCTCTTTTCCTCGGAAATGACCTATCCTATTTGAACTGAGTCTCCTTGCACTGGATACTGCATATTCTCTATGTAGTAATATGTGGTATCTGATATTCCAATATTTTTTCTTCTTAAAAACTATTACTGAAGTTTCTCACTTTGTGGCAAGACAACAAATGAAAGTATTGTGTAAAATCAGTTCCACCACAAACTCCACTTAAAAAAATCCTTTCATTAAAATCTGCATTTCTCAATTCAACTTATAATTATTATACTTCACTAATCCCCATCCTTTCTATTTCATAACATCTCCTGTGGCACTACATCAGATGGTTTACTTAGGTCTAGATAGACTTAACGTTATTTCCTTAATGTATATTTACAAAGGCTAGCAGCTTAACTAGGCACTGTCTCCTGTTTAACAAAAGCCCTGCACCAAAGTTACACCATGTGCATTTTTTTCCTCTTCTAAAGCCCTGCACAGACAACAGCCAACCTATATAACTGCTTTGCAACACTTTTTTTCTCTTAATCTAATTAAAGGTACTACATTTTTCCTCCTTCACATACACGCTATCAGCCATGAACCAAGACTGAAAAATTGTTCATGGAGCAGTATTTGTCAGCGTTCTTGAAAGACATTTACTCTGCAAGTCACATTCTTTACTCTTTATTGTATGTGCTAATTTATCATATAAATCCAACACCCTTTCATTTTTTATTCTTTTTTATATTCAGACTCTTGCTTAATATTTTATTTTTACTGAAAACTAACACTTTTCTGGTTCAGACCACACCTGAATTATATTTAATATCATCAGCCCATTCGCACTGCACAATAGTTCTAGTTTTCTTCCCCTCAAAGCTTCTTTACAAATTCAAGTAATATTTTCTTGTTAATGATCTAATTCAACTTAACTTCTGTTAACTGTCACTATAACCTCACACTTTCTGGCACCCAGGAGGTAGCCTTCTTTGCAGATCAAGCTGGTTTTGTTTCTTTCAAGATCTTTGCTTACTTCAGGCATTCCTTAAAAAATACTTAATCACTCACTTTGACAGAACTGTCCTTCCAAGTATTTTTTCTCATCTAATTTGGAATGCATTTTTTATTAACTTTTGCACGATTGTCTAAAATATATTCCAAACCCCTATTACATTTGAGCCTAAAATCACTCCGTCCAGTTGATTTCACTGATTAGCTCTCAATTTATTTTTTAAATGGAAATCCTACTTAATTGCTCTGCCTTTTGTTTACTAAATTTAACCAAATTAATAACACCAGGTATTTCACCCAGGAAACAACCCTCCCATTATTAATAACCATCTGTCCCTTGTATCTTGGAAAACAGTCTCCCATACTGGGACAATTTTAAGTAATATGCTTTTTCACATATTGCCCATCTCCACATCTGATCCTGAGCACTCAGTGACATGACTGAGCTATGTTTCGTCTCTTTTAAAGCCATATAGCTAGGTGCAGTGATACTGAGCAACTGAAAATTGAAAAAAATACAGCACATGAAAATATGTCCTGAATGCACTATTGCACCTTACTTGCACCTAAACTACTCTTAAGCATTCACCTACCACACTAGCCAGACTCAGAAAGAAAACTCATTCACAATGCTAAGTTCATATGCTGAAAAATATCTTTTGGGAGTGTTTTCAATAATGGCAACACGGTATTTTTTTTTTTCCCGAAGAATGAGGCTTAAGAATGTCTCAAAAAAATTCAAAGCCTTTATTGTCTTTCAACTAAACCATTTGTCCTGCTTTAAGTCAACAGGACTCTACAATGGAAACCAGAATCTTACAATCTCGCTTTATTCTGAAGCATTCTCTCAGAGGACAGTAATTTCCTTTATTGAAATAACCACCACAATACTTTAACATTCTTAATTGTAAACCCATTATAAATAAATCTCATATTTAAATGTTATTGTTGATCTCTTTTGTTGGTGGTGGTTTATTTTTGAGAGGCGCTTTTGCTGCTCCATTGTATCTTTAGCAACAGCTACCGAAACTGGATAGGACTAGGTACATCCAGCTCTCTAAACCAGGACTTAGCAGACTGGGGATTTCTGTCACTGTTTTCTTGCTCTACACCCTTTAAGACAGATAAGTCTATTATGACATCTTGAAAGATGATTTAGAAATCTTTCACTGAAAATGATAAAAATGACAAAGCAAAGTGCAAACTATTCATTGATTTAGGAGTCCCTGAATTTTACCTACTTTTATCCAGATGGTTTTCTAGGAAATCCTGGTAAGTTTTCATTGTCAGCAATACTGAGAACAAACAGGACAGGTGCTTCACCAACTAATGACAGTAAGCTGTGGGAATCCATGGCCCCTCCTCAGGCAAGTGACCCAACTTTCTGATAAAATAAGGATGTATACTGAACAGTTATGAATATGTGATTCATTATGCTGGTAACAGTTTGTTGTCTCCTTTAAAAATCCTAATTGATTCTGTATTAGCCTGATTTTTAGATGCTTTCCAAGACTCAAAATGGGAAGAAGGGGTCTGTTGAAGAAACAGAGGATGCTCTGCAAACCCTGCCCCATATTCCTGAAAATGTTTCCAAATTTCAAATGCAAAAGCAAGGGGGGGGGGGAAGAGTAAAATAAAGCTTATCACACTTTCAGAGGAAAGAGAAAGGAAACAACCAGTACCATAAAAAGCATCAGTATCAAAGTAAATATGGCTAAGGTGCCTAGCTTTTAGCAGTAAAGCAGTCACTGGTTTTAATAAAATAATAAAATAAGGTCGTATCCATCCAAAGGGACTGAAAATCATCTGGATATCTTTTCTTGCTGCTTCTTTAACTGGAGAAACTCCCTATTCTGGGAATGAACACTTTCTCTGAAGAGAATTCAGTTCTGTTCCCCTATTTTAATAAAGGCTGCTCTTGTGCATGGAAAGACCTAGGGTAGTTGGACCTAGTACTACTGGACATAGCTGGAGGCTGTTTCAAGAGAATGTTCATAACTAGAAATTGATGCTTTTACTAATGAGTCAAAAAAGAACATTTCAAATGCTGGCTTCTTTAGATTTCTGAGATTCATGGAGAAGGATTTGTAGATTGTACATTTGTTAGGGTACCAAATTCACCCAGAATATACAGGCTTGTCACTAGCAGTAACTGTTTTCTTGTAAGAACATGTTTGAGATTATAGACGTACCATAAAATAGACGAACCCAGAATAAGGAGGACGCCAAATATACTTTCTGAAGATTATCTAAAAACCATGTGTAGAAACTGTATCACGGAGAAGCCTAATTGAAATATGCACACTATTTTCCTATTTTAATTTTTAACAGTATAATATGCTGATAGTGTGCTATCTTCTCTTTTCAAGGTGCAGTGCAGTTTCCACTTCTGGCAGTAAGAAGAAACTTGACAGCATTTCAGAGCCCTAGCTCAAGGGTGGGAAGATGCTCTGGGTACGCAGCAGGCACAACGAGTGCTCTGAGCTTAAGCATGTGCTCAAGAAGAGTAAAAAAGCACATGAAAAACAATGTAGGGATCAGACATTTCTCTGTTTTCTGTGAGACACAAAAATTCATCACAGGGTATCTTATAAAGGGGGAGGGATGATACTATAACCAGCTGAAAGTCTATGAAGACAAGAAGCTTGAGTGATATCTCCTTACTCTATGGATCTACTCCTACTTTTAAAAATACTTGAACTATTTTTATTATTTTGAAACTATGTTTTGATACTAAAGAGGTGTCTTTACATATATACATATTTCTGTATGTATGTATACACACACATGTCTGTGTGTGGACACACGTGTATTTATATAGCGCTAACCAATCTACCAGTCTCGTGTCAGCTATGAAAGGATTTTATGGCTGGCGGTTTACGAATTGGTGATAAAAGCGAACCCACTTAGGAAATCAAACTGTGATTCACCCTGCTTACAAGTGTCAAAAAATAGGATAGAACTCTCTGCTGACA